AGATTCTTCGTGCCTTGAAACAAGCCAGGAATAAGGGAGTTTCTAGAGCAAACTTGATTGTAAACTAAGGTAAATGCTACTCACTCCGTTAATGTGTTAAGATTATGGTCCATACTGATCATTTCTGATTGTGTTTGGCCGACAAAGAATTTTCTATTTGTACCGTTGATATGTGAGACTATTTTCTGAAAGTTTCTTGACATGCACTTTTCTGTTTAAAATACCCTAGAATGTTTTTTTTTTTTCAAGGAAAATGAAATATAAGTTATTACTCAAGATTTTTAATGCGAAAAAATCCTTTTTTATTTCAATCACTTAAAAAATGCTTTTCGTTTGTGAAAAAAATTAGGACTAGCAAACTGGATTTGGACTTTGTATAATACAGTAATTGCTTTACAAAGTAATCTGAAATTCAACAGAAAAAATCTTTCAGGAGATATTCTGGACTGAAAACGTTTGCCCGCACAAATTCCAGTATGTAACAAGGAAAGTCAGATACAGAAAATCATGCTATGTTGCATTTCCGCACAGGCAATGTATAACATACGCCAACTGTGAAAAGAAAGAGTAAGTAAAACCTATGTTATTCATCAATCTTTTTCTCTCCTCAAAATGAAGTTTGGGAGGAGAGGATATATAGTGTATGGGTGAGTGGTGCGTAACGGAAGTGATAATTTACATCGGGTTCGATGTCATTTGCTGTTCTGCTGAATTGAATACTATGTATTTCGTATTATAACTTGTTTTTGTTAATTTTAGTACTGCAATTAACAAAAATGAATAAAACAAATTAAATAAAAGATTCAGTATTTTAGCGTTACTGTTCTTTATTTCTAATATGAATATTGAGTTGTGTATAATTGGATTCGTTATGATACTTCGACTCGAATTTGACAACTCAATGATTTAAGTCAATGGGACTACAAGACTTGTATAGCTTTTTCAAAAAGCTTTGACGTCTTTTAGAACAATTTTCAGAAGTAACCCGTATCGGACCGTATTATTATTCTTGAATATTTCTTGTCTTTGTATTTACTTGACAGACATTAACCCTACCATATAAAAAACAAGGGGAAAAGAATAAAACACAAACTGTAACTTTTGCATGCAAACAAGAACATTTTTATTAACTCTGGAAATATAAAAAAAACACGTTTTATAATTACGATTAAATGTTATAGTGTCAGTTTCATTTAATGCATTTTTTATCTTGTTCGTTTTCTCATTTTTTTAAAGAATGGAAATCCTTAATTACAGGGGTTGCTCGAAAACTGGTCGCGAAAACTGGTCGCGTAAAGAGTGCTTGTTTACCTGATCGACACCACATTTTTAATGTCTGGGTGAACTGTGTAGACAAGTATAGATTTGAGCTGGAAACTTTAGATCGAGTTACCCCAGTGCTGTACCTGTAGCGAATGCTCGCTTTGCGATGGAGATGGCGGTGGCGATGGCGCTGGAGGGCATTAATGATACTAGAAATCGTAATGTGAGCATAGGATGGAATAAAAAATTTGAGGCATTAAAGAAAGTAAAAAAAATGAAAGTGAAAATATTTGACAGAATGTCATGAGTTTTATAGAAGCAGAACCTTTAAAGTACGTTACAGTTTCGTTTCTAATGATGTGTTTTCTCCACAATGGTTATGAACAGGTAAACAAATGCCAGTTATTTCTTGTGGAATGAGTCATTACAATAATGAGTGTATAGTAAGAATGATAGTAAGAAATCAATACAGCTATGTTTATTGACATTTAGTTTTATTTATCAAATCATTATTATCAATAAATGACAGGATCTTTATAGGAAAATATATAGAGAGTATACCTCATTCCGACTTTCCTCCACTTGACAAAGGAAATTCAATACAAAATGTAAACACAGCATAAATGGTTCAATATAACTACATTATTACACAGCGAATATGCTTATCTCTGGTAATTTGGATAAATAATAAGACCAGTCACTGATAATTTGGGTAAAACCTTACAATTGCGATTCAGTTTTCATGTGAAGCGGTAAAAGCTGGAAAGTACGTTCGGAACACCGAACACCGATGTACTCGGGTGCGTACAATAAATTAACTGGACCCGACGTTTTCCGGATATTTGAAGTTATGGCACCAAATCATCATACATTGGACGTCATTGAGGGTCTTACTGGTATAAATACGAGCTCTGCGAGCTCAGTTAGTCAGACGTCTGCAGTCTCAACTCCAGAAAGGTTCTGAGAGACATAAATTGGCTTAATGACTCTAACAGAGCATAGCATCGAGGAATATAGATGGGTAATTATCATTAACCTGATCTAATACTAAATTTGTTAGCAACTTTTGATTGCTTTATTATTTGTTACTGCATTTTATGAGTTCTACTCAGACACAAGTAGTGATCTGAATTCACCGTTGTTAATAACTATTTACTCAGGCAGAAGAAGTGACCTGAACTTAATATTTATAACTCCTGACATCATTATTAACAAATGCATGATGCATTGTATATAATTCTACTGAAAAATTAGCATTACTTTTTATCCCTGTACAAATAGTTGTTCGCAATACCCTCTGATATTTTGCATTTTATACTCACTCGTGAAGAAATCACCAGTTCAATCTTTTAACTCAGATCTAAAGGTCTTAAGTCTATTCGGCTTTGTTTAAAGGGGGGGGGGGTTAAATTAACATTTGGTGGAAAGGGTGGTTGTTTTGTTATTATATCAGATGCAGAGCCAAGGAAGAATGTTGTGTATATTTTTTTTGATAAAACAATCACACCCTCTTGTCTTTCGTTCAACATTCAGATTAAGGAGACCCACAAAGTTACCTCGCTAAACATAGACAGCTGTAAGTCGTAACAGATGCATAGCTTTTTTTAAAACAAAAAAGCATCAAAGATTTAATTGTTTAATTAATTCTTTCTGAGAACATTATTGTCAATTCTATTTCTCTTCACTTCATGGTATTCCGTTGAACCATCATTCAACAATATTAATAATATTAGTGAATTTGTGGATCTCCTATACCCATGATAATGATCAACGGTAACTTTGACAACGAATCGTTCCACTGAGTTTTCCGTGTATACAAATTACCCTACAAATAATGTCCCCATGAAGGAGTAAAATTTTGCTTGCCCACGAACATTGATCCCCCAAGAACTAAAATGAATCCACTCAAATAAGGTCACTATATTTGGTTCCAAATTTCATAGGGATAAGAGTCCAGGATTATTATTTTTTCTGTCCACCTATAAGTAATACAAAAACATTTATAATTGGCCCTGTTCAAACAGAATAACAAATATTGAGAGGGGTATCCCCCCCCCCACCACATTTCAAGATAAGCATCCTAAATTCTTTATCTGATAAAAAGGGATACACCCGTAGGTGTTGTTCAACATTCAGGCTTTATCAATTATATTAGCAATTTTGAGCTATTTGAGTTCTATGAAAAAAGTCCTTTTCAAGCAACCTGTTTATGAGTATGTATTCCGTGAGTATTACAAAAGCAATTCTACTAGTCGCCTACCGGTTAATGTAATTAGTCTGGTTTCTGCAATTTTGATTTGTAAACTATCAAAATAGACACACATAACATATATTATCTCAATATCAGCAAGCAAGTATGATAAAAGAGCGGAAAACCAAGTTGGATAGACCTGCAGAAGAGGAGGAAACCTATCGTCACCTTCGTTTACATCGGTACGGGACTACTCATAATTCTACATCCCCTTTTCTATATTTAAGGTGCAGTTGTGCCTATCTTACTCTTCTGTTATTTCTTGATCTTTGATATTATATGTTTTCGAAACGTCCATCAATGAAGAAACATAAAAAAAAAAGTCCGTTGACATTTATAAAAACAAAATTAAATACATTGAGAACTTGGGATCAAAGACAATTTTCATCTAATTTTGTAAATAACAAGGTTTTTATATAGATCTACCACTCTATACTATAGATATAGAGGGTAGACCTATATAGACATATATATATATATATATATATATATATATATATATATATATATATATATATATATATATATATATATATATATATATATATATATATATATATATTGTCCATGGATCTGGTCTAACCTCGCTTTTTTTTTGTAGCTGAAGTTTACCATTTTACGTGTAGTTTTTGCAACACTCTGACGCTATACTAGACAAACAATTGACGTCATTGTAACAGCAATGGAAACATGGATTCAACCCAAATATCAGAGTAAATTTTTAACTTGATATCATGAACAATGATAAAATAGAATTCCAGTTTCAAAAGCAAACAATATTTTTTTCTGTAATATCACACTTTAATATATCAATACGAAATATAACACAGTGATTCTGATTGTAAGGTGGTTAGCTGAAAGGGAGGTAACTCTTGCCTATTATAACGAACTTTAAATGAAATATATGGAGATAACGAACAGTATTCAAGCTCAAAAGTCCATTAATCAATACAAAATAGGAGCAGAGCAAACACGGACCTCCAAACATCAGAGGTGGTATCAGGTGCCATGGAGGAGTGAGCATCCCCTGCCGACCGGTCACACCCGCCGTGTGCTCCTTGTCATGATCGGGAAATAACGGAAAAATCCGTCGACAATTCAGTGTGTAAATAATGGCCTAACAATTAGTGTGAAAAACGTCAGTCAGCATTTGACTCAATGATAAATTGTATTTGCTGACAAGGTCATTGTATCGACCATAGAACTTACGAAATGATGACTTTAAACGAGACAGCTGATATTCTTGTTTCATCAACTTATTTGTCAATAATTTACCTCGTTTTAGAAATTGTACATACGTAGAGCAAAACAAATAATATTGAGGTCCCCTTCGCCACCGATTTTTTTTTAATCTGAAAGATGATATATTTCTAGGTTTCTTTTAGATTTTAAAAATCTGTTGAAAACGTTTTAGATTTTTCTTTTGTTTCCATCCTATATTCAATGGTTTATATAAGGAAATTCCACAAGACAAAACATTACAATGTTTAAATTTATGTTACATGTATTTTCAAACAAATGTTCAATTAAATTAGCCTACATAGACATATAATTTTCAAGAAACAATCAAATAATTGTCATATTTGATGTGCAGCCTTTTCTTTCATATTGCCTTGTTTTCTAGTGAACTACCTCTTAAGTGTTACATGTTTGAAAATATATTCACTTAACAGATGTATGCTTTATGTAATACTGATTTGTTCCACTGCTCAGGAAGTAAATATTGGCTCCATGATCTATGAAATGTTGAAGGACCTCTATGTGTTTGTATTCTTCTGCATACTGTAATGGGGTTTTGTCCGAGTTGTCACAAAGATTGATTTTGCCTCCAAATTGAACTAGAAGTTTGACAATCTCTGTACATCCGTTTTGTGCTGCGTAATGTAATGGTGTTCTCTTGCGACGATCACAAAGGTTGACATCAGCTCCATGTTCCAAAAGAAACTTAACAATTTCCATATATTTATTCTGGGCTGCTTTCAGCAATGGAGTTTCGTTTTTCCAAAGATCACAATCATTGACCCTAGCATTATTTTCTATTAGATGTTTAACAATATCTTTGTGTCCAAATTGTGCTGCTAAATATAATGATGTTGCTTCATTCCAATCGACTCGAACATTGACTTTGGCTCCATGTTCTACTAGATGCTTAACAATATCTTTGTGACCGTTTTCCGATGCATTAGACAATGGCGTTTTTTTCCAGATATCAAAAACATTAACCTTCGCCCCACGTCTTAATAGATATTTAACAATTTCGGTATGCCCGTATTCTGAGGCTATATGTAACGGTGCTTCGCCCTCCCATAACGTAGCAAGATTAATATTGTCCCCATGTTCTACCAGTTGCATAATAATCTCCGTGTTTCCATATTCTGATGCTTTATGTAATGGTGTTTTGTATTCGTGATTATACAAATTAATATTGGCTCCATTTTCTACTAAATATTTAACAATTTCAGGATGTCCACGCCTTATTGCTATATGCAATGGTGTTTCTTTTTCCCGAAAACCTAAATCAGCCTGTCTTTTTTTATCTCCATTTATATTCTCTGTGGAGAAAAGTGATGGAGTGCAATTGTTGGTAAATTTTTCATTTGAAATATTAAGGTCTACTCCATGCACCACCAGTGTTCTAACAAGATCCAGGTTCCCTCTATTTATTGCAATAGTAAAGGCTTTTTGCATTGCTTCATCTCGGTCTTCAGAATGGAAGTTACGGTTTAACAGAAACTTGACTGCTTCAATATTATCTTTGGCTGAAGCTTTCAATAAATGCAAATAACTCCAAGGAATATCAGGACACCTTGGCTGGTCAAACGTTTTCAAGATAATCTTCAAAACATCAAAATCATACGACACTGAGACATATGACAAAATGGAATTTATCTCATTTTCCAACAGACTATCAATTTTAGCTCCATGATCAATTAACTTTATAAAAAGATCAATATCTTGTTTCTGTATAGCCCATTGTATTATTGTTCTACCTTCACTGTCCAGAACATTCAGATCGAATCCTTTACTTAACATCAGATCAATGATTTTGTTACTTAGAAGCATTTCATATACACCGGATTTAACTAGAATCCTCGAAATGTCAAAGTAATTATTATTAATAGACTGAAATAAAGCTGTCTTCTTTTCATTATTTTCACAGATTGTAATGTCTGCTCCATTGTTCACTAATACTTCTACTATTTTCAAAAATCCCTTTTCGGCAGCAATAAATAAAGGAGATTTATTGTAAGCATCACATATGTTAATGTTAGCGTCGTTGGTAAGCAAGTTTTGAACGACGCTGAAATGGCCGAAATATGAGGCACAATACAATGGTGACTTATTAACACCATTGATCTTGTCAATATTGGCATTTTTCTTTATTAAATGATCCAACATCTTTTCATTTCCTTGTTTGGCTACATGAGTCAGTGGTGTATCTCCTTCAGGCGTGTCATCACGTTTGTTAATATCTGCACCAGCATCAAGCAAGGCATCTACGATTTCACAATTGTATCCTATGCATGCAGCAGTAAGAGGTGTAAAACACATGTGGATATTTAGTGAGTCGAATTTTCCACTAGGACTATTGTCAATACAATTATTCTCCAAGTATCCAATCAATTTCTTTGTAATTTGTGAATTTGCACTAAAAGTACTCAGCACAAGAAGATGAGATTGCTCAGATAAGGAAAATCCAAATATTTTTCTACAAGTAAGCTCATAAAGAATGTATTTATCAACAAGGAATTTTAGAAGATCCTCGTGACCATAAGCAACTACCCAGTTGAGAGCCCGAATCTGATATTTTGTTTTATATGTTGTTATATTTTCAGGCATTTCTTCATCTTCAACCATAAAAGAATCGGTCATTACCTCGGAGTATGTTTCACAAACAATGAGCCTTTCGAAAATGTACTTGCGTCCTTCCTCAACCTTATCAATAAATTCTGTGGCGATAAGATGAGGGACATAATCATGACCTTTCAGAAAGGCTTCAGCTAATTCTTCGTTTGACTTAGTATGTAGATATTCTATGAAGACCTGTATAAAAGATAGCTCTTTTAAACATTCATTTTGGAAGACATCATAAAACTGTTTCTCTTTGATATCAAGATAAAGTCTTTCAGCCAGAACAGAGTAAGTTTCTTTTGGAATAATAACAGATGAATTAAGATTTGAGTTAGCATCTGTTCTGAGCCTTACACATCTAGAAATATATCCACTGTTCATCTTTGATATGATCATTTCGGGGAACTCTCTCCCGTACATGTATGCCATTACTTCAAAAATAGAGTCGTGAACAAAAGCGTATATTTCATCAATTTTGATGACATACGTTCCATTCATTTGGTTTAATGCATCGCATACTTGCAAATCAGATAGTGACCCCTCTATCCTGAACTGTTTTGTCATGTGACTAAGGGTTTCAGTATCCTTCCATTCCTGCATGTTTAGCCTATTCTGTGAAAGCACACAGAGAACTAATGAGGCGTAGTGAATCTTGTTTAAAAGTTTCATTTTCTGGAATTCCTCAATCAGGCACTTTTTAGGCATTTCAAAAAATCGTTTGCCTTCTTTTTGGTATTGTGTTTCTTTCGAAAACAGTTTGCATAGTAAAGGAAACATCACAGATCCTGACTTAAGTGACAGGGATTGATAAACAGACTTTTCAACTTTGCACTTTTCACAATGAATAGTGAGCATTTCTTTCATTTCAGTTGGCAAAAGGGATATTCGTTCGTTTTCGATATCGATTGTATTTTGAAATATGTACAGATCTAATTTTCTACCCTCATAATACACTGATTTTCTACAAGTAAAAATGAACTTTGTTTGTTTTTCTGATAAGAGCTTAATCGTTTTTGTAAAATCTACCAAGGAATTGTATCTTGACCTATCAAACCCAAACACACCTGCTGGATCATCGTACAAAAAAATCTGTTTCACATAGGAATGTCCAAAGTTTTTGATATCCTCTAAACAAATGACCGGGATGATCTCCCATCCCTCGCTTTTGTATTTGATTGCTAAATGGCGTGCCTTTGCTGTTTTACCAGTACCCGGTCCCCCAATGATGGTGACAACATTATGAATATTCATCAATTCTTCAAATTCTTTATAGGCCCGAGTTTCGCAAAACACCTCGTCGTCTTCCTCCCAGAGTTTTACCTCATCTGTTTGACGTTCTGAATAGAAATTATGAAAAAGAACTAATTTAACGTTTTCACAGTAAAAATACCAAATATGAAAATGAATGCTTTCTCTTTAAAACGATAAAAATCGCGACAAAACTCTCGATTCTTCTTCCCTTCACGAAAATTGTTATAAAGAAAATACTCCTTATAGATAGGGAGAGTAAATTATCCCTCCTGGCTCGGACTAAAACTGCCAGTGTCTCTCTAAACTGTTCTTAATATCTATGTTTACAATTTTCATTCTCGCCATGCTGAGTTATGATGTCTTGATATTACAGCCTACGTAAAGGTTGTTTCACTTTTTCATTAAATATAAACGAACATGAAGTGTTATTATAAGTATTTTACTTATTTTTCCCATCTACTCTTCAGTAAATAAGCTTCAATTATGAAGAACTTTTTTTAAATGGGAGAGAAAATACCTTTAATGTGCGCTGGTATGTGAGTCTGCTCTAGCTCTGAGACTCTATATTTCAAAAGATCAAAGTCATCCATGATACTCTTCCTCGCTTTCTTATCAAATTTTCTCGTCTCCAAAGAAGAGGTTTCTTTTTTCAATGATCCATTACTAAGACGAAAAATTGCCTGAAAATTTCGTAGGAAATATCAAATTAACAATTGATTGCCATATAGAAACATGTTCTCACATGTATTATGTATATGAAAATACATAGATTTATGTCTGTGTTAAATGGGATTGAATTTGAATGACGGTTTCTTGATTGAAAACATTATTAAAAATTCACATTTTTCATATATCACAAGTTTCTTGAAGGAAAAAAGTGACAGGCTATCCTCATTAAAATCTAAATACATATACATACATAATCCAAAGATGAATTAAATTCTTACTTCTGATAAATCAGACCAGTTCCTTTGAAAGATCGATAGATCCATTGAAGTCTTCCCATGACAGATGGAGTTTCTGTGTATCCTTACTCGCTCTACGTCATCAGTAAGAGAGGTATTGTAAGGAAAAGGATCATTTCCCCAACCGTTAGATGGCTGCGTAACACTCAATGTATTACGGAAAAGAGCATAGAGCAAAGTTGTATCAAAGTTTTTTGTTGATACAGAACCGCCTGAAAAAAATTGTAAAGTTTTACTGAATATATATACATTTAACAAAATGAAAATGGTAAAAAAAATTATCTTTTCATATAATATAACTATTTGCAAAAACAAATTATTCAGGAAAAAACACAAGTTCTAGATGTAATGATTTAATCAGTTTGGGAAATTTCAACGAATTTTTATATTAGTTACCTGGGAAAAGGACTTTCCTCTGAGAGGCACATTTCTCCAGTAGTTTGCATTTATGAGTCTGTAGATGAGATGCCAAGAGGGATGGTGGAACTTTATTGTCAAATGCCATTCTCAGAGCGTCAGTGCCCAGCTGTGCCAACAAGTAAAATCTCAAGAACCTATTTTCGTCCTCTGTAATGGCGTCATCATTGTCATCTGTTCCAATTAAAAATTAAAAAGAAAAAATAATATAATAAAGTTTTAAATCTTAAGTCAAGAGAAAAGTTTAAAAAAGAGGTCCATTGGCCACAACGCTCACCTGAGTTACCTTAGTTCTTCAGAGGATTTTAAAGAGATTTTTATATTCTGTTGAAAAAACTGTGCCCCATATTATGGCCCCACCAAGGCCTACCTCTAAGGGGTCTCTGAATCCACACCACATAGGGATGCTTTAATATCGACATGATTAAATGTTCTTTTACTGATGGAGAAGAAAATTCTTTTCCTCTATTTATGCATATTTAGTATAAATTTGATCCTGATTTTATCCAAAAATAACCCGGGGTCCATGATTTAAAAAAATCGCACATCTTGGAATGTTTGGAATTTAACTTAGGCAGCAATATACCCTTATCACATGCATACGGAGTTTACATCTCTCAGGTAATTCGATACGCAAGAGTATGTTCTACGTATGAACAATTTCTAAAACGAAGTAAGTTATTGACAAACAAGTTGATGAAACAAGAGAATCAAAGGTCCCGTTTTAAGTCATCATTTCGTAAGTTCTATGGTCGATACAATGACCTTGTCAAAAAATACAATTTATCATTAAGTCAAATGCTGACTGACGTTTTTCATACAAATTGTTCCGTTATTTTCCGATCATGACAAGAAGCACACGGCGGATGTGACCTGTCGGCAGGGGGGGGGGGGGATACTTACTTCCCTGTGGCACCTGATCCTACTTCTGATGTTTTTAGAGGTTCGTGTTTGCTCTGCTCCTGCTTTGTATTGTTTAAATGGACCTTTGAGCTTGAATACTGTTCGTTATCTCCATATTTCATTTCTTTAGAAGATTTAAAATAAATCCTTATATAGTTTCAAGCAAAAATTTGACCCCCTATTGTGGCCCAACGCTACCCGGGGGACCGTGAGTTGAATAGTTTAAAATCTACGATACCTCAAGAAGCCTTCAAATAAGTTTCATCTTTTCTTCTCCAGTGATTCTTGTGATTTTTTTTTTAAAAAATCTTACATATTTCAATGTAAAAATTTGAGCCCTCATAGATCCCTCATTGTGGCCCCAACCTAACCTCCGGGTCCATGATTTGAAAAATTTAGATTCTATATTATGTCTACAAGTGTTGTTGTGGCCCCAACCTACCCCCAGGTTGCATGTTTTGAATAACCTACAAACAACATTATCTCTGGAAGCTTTCATATAAGTTTAACATTTTCCGGCCAAATGGTTCTTGAGAAGATTTTCAAGACGTTTCTTATATATTTCAAAGTAAAACTTTGATTCTTTATTGTGGCCCCTTCCTACTCCAAGTTGTCTAGTGGTTCTTGAAAAGAAGATTTTAAAGGTTTTTCTTATATATTTCAATATGAAAATTTCCTTTCCTATTGATGCCCCTTCCTCACCCCGGAGATCATGATTTAAACAATTTAGAATTTACGCTTCCTCGGGAACCTGACAACTTTCACCGTTTCTGGCCCAATGGTTCGTAAGATTTTTTTTCCTATATTTTCAACACAAAACTTTCATCCCCACTCTCACCCCAGGGGTCTTGATGTGAACAATTTAGACTTACACTTCCTCAAGAACCTTCCACATAAGTTTCACTTTTTCTGGTCCAATGCTTTTTTAAAAAGAGGATTTTTAAAGATGTTTCATATATATATATATATATATATATATATATATATATATATATATATATATATATATATTATATTATATTATATTATATTATATTATATTATATATATATATATATATATATATATATATATATATATATATATATATATATATTTCAGTGTAAAAAAAAATTTGATATCCTATTATGGCTCCACCCTAATCTCAGGGGTCCTGATTTGAATAATTCAGATTCTACACTTCCTCGGGATGCTTCCACATAATTTTCGCTTTTTCTGGCCCAGTGGTTCTTGAGAAGAAGATTTTAAAAGACTTTTCTTATATGTTTCAATGTTAAACTTTGATCCGTTATTGTGGCCCCACTATACCACTAGGGTGCATGATTTGAACAATTTAGAATTTATACTTCCTCAGGAAGCTTCTATAAAAGTTTTCCTTTCTGGCCCAGTGGTTCTTGAGAGTGAAATATTTTAATGGCCCTATTCTATTGTTGCCTTTTCTTGATTATCTCCCCTTGGAGGATGCTTTGTGCCAACGTTAATTAAAATTGGACAAGTAGTTCTTGAGAAGAAGTCGAAAATGCAAAATGTTTACAGACGGAAAGACGGGCGGACGGACGGACGCCGCACAACGGGTGATCAGTAAAGCTCACTTGAGCAAAAAAGAGGCCTTTGATTCACATTGGGTCTGTTCTTTATCAGAAGATTTTTTCCCTATATTTTCCTATGTAAAATTTTGAGCTCCTATTGTGGACCCACCCTTCCCCTTGGGGGCAATGATTTTAATAGCATTGAATAAACACTTGCAGAGGATGCTTGCTCATAAATATGACTATTTATGGATTTGCTTTTCTTAGAAGATCTTTAAAATCTTTTCCCACATAATCCTATGTAAGAATTTAATTGCCTGTTGGGTGCAATTCCACACTCCACCCTTCCCCTTGGGGTCACATTTGGAAATACAATCTTCACTACCTGAGGATGCCTCCAAATTAATATGACCATCTTTGCTGTTCTTGATATGAAATTATCTTCTAAGTAAAACTTGATATAAGATTTATGTAAAGTAGAAGGGCCGAAAACTGTCCATTCTGTGATAGAAAGAACTAATCGAGGGCCGTAGGCCCGAGATTAGTTCTTTCTCTCACAGAATGGACAGTTTGAGGCCTTCTCCTACTTAAAACATGATGTTCTTTGTATTGAAAATAAATAAACTATGTTCAAAACTGGTATCAGATATAACAGGTAGCACACATACAATGGCAAGTTCATTGTTTACGGAATAGACAGTCACAGGTAAGCTAGGGATGCAGAGCAACTTGTTGAATAGCCATTGTGTTTCCAGATGCAAATAACAAAAGGTTTTTGTCGCAAGAATGGACAGATACAGGTGGATTTTTGGGATACTAGTATTTGTACAAGTATGCAATGCTTCAAAACCAGTTTACAGTTTGCGTTGTAAAGGCATACATGTTTTCTTATGATAGAGAGAGTATATTACAGAATCAAAATCTAATAAACCAAAATATGCACAAAATTAGTGATATTTGGATCTTGAAACAGAAAAGTAAGAGTAAAAGAAATATTAGCCAAATTTTGACCCAAAAATGAACTTTGACGACAGATACAGGTGATCAAATTCGAATCAAACCTGGAAATGTTTTATTTGAATTCTGTTTTTGAGGATATATTAACTGCAGCAGTGTAATGGTGAGATGCAAATTGTGTTCTGAGTGGTTGATTAGCCATGAGCCAAATGCAATCTTCGACCTGAAAATGTTTTTCAAATCAAATCTGGAAATGTTTCATTTTTATTTATTTTCTACCGAAATATTAACTGCGGCAGTGTAGTGTTCATGGTGCAAACTGTTTTCTGGAAAGAGGATTCAATGTTAGACGTACTTCTATCTGAAAATGAATTCTCCTCGAGGGAATGATTTTTCCGAAATTTTAATCAAATGTGAAATTGTATCATTTGAATTCAAGTTTTGTAAAAATCAAGTTTTGAGTATTGAAATAATGTGCATTATTCAAGGATTTAAAAGAGTAAAATCGAGTGGATGCTGTGCAGACATTGTGTTCTGGATTAACTTTGATCTCCGCATTCTTTTTGTTATTTTATAAGTAAATTTAAAAAAAAGCATTTAATGTATTTGTTTTTGTTTCCCTCCTGAACACTTCCCAAAGTTTACCTGTAACTCTCCATTCTGTTTGATTTAACTGTCCATTCTTTTTTTTTAAAAAAACTGTCCATTCTTAAAAGAATGGACAGTTTTCCAAAAAGAATGTATACTTACAGGTAACTTAATGGATTGTTTGAGGAGTTAGCTCAACATTAAGCTATAGAAAGGACAACACAAACAAAAAAGGTTTACGTCAAAATCATGTTTTAATTCTAGTTAGGCAATTATTCACACATTGAATTGTCTACGTATTTTCCGTTTTCTAGATCATGACAAGGAACACACCGCGGGTGTGACCTGTCGACAGGGGATCCTTACTCCTCCATGGTACCTGATCCCACTTCTGATGTTTTTAGAGGTCCGTATTTGCTCTGCTCCTGCCTTGTATGCGAGTTTGATTACTGTTTGTTTTCCCCATATTTGATTCTATGTAAAACTTTGATCCACAAACCTTCATTGCCCATAGTGGTACCACCCTACACCGCGGGGCCATGATTTAAAAAGAACTTGAATCTACAGTACCTGAGGTGGGGATGCTTCCACATTAATATGACAAAACATGGCTTTGCTGTTTCCGAAAAAAAATATTCTTTTCCTATATATTCCATTGTAAAACTTTGGTCGCCTATTGTGGCAACACACTACCCCAGGGACAATGATTTGAACAAATTTGCATCTACACTATATCAGAAAGCTTTCAAATAAGTTTCACCGTTCACGATAGCTCAGTTGGTAGAGCGCGCGCTTCGTGATCAGGGGGTCGTGAGTTCGAATCTCGGCCGCGACTGACCTAAGTCGATAAAAAATGGGTAGCAACTGTTCCTTTGCTATGATCTCGGCACTTTGAAGTGAAAGCTGCGGGTCCTTCGGATGAGACCTTAAAAACGGGGGCACCGTGTCACGGCATAGGTTGGCACGATAAAGATCCCTCATAGCTCAGCCCTGAGTGCCGAGTCAAGGTCAAAATTTGACGTCTCTATATTTGACGTCTCTATATGAGTGAAAAATTCTCGAATGGGACGTAAAACAACATACAATCAGTCAATCAAATAAGTTTCATTTTCTGGTTCAGTCGTTTTTGAGGTGACGATTTATTTCTTGATTATCTTCCTTTGAATGGAACTAAAGTCTTTATTTTCCATTCACTCAAGAATGCAATATGGCGACGGGTCCCTAACAAAATAATACTATAGTAAACTATAGTTAACTAGAGTTTACTAAAGTTAACTATAGTATCAAAGTAAAAACTTTGGAACTTTGATTTACTTAAGTAATAACTTTGGAACTTTGATTTACTATAGTGAAAACCTTTGGTCAACTATAGTAAAAGCTTTGAGACTTTGATTTACTATAGTGAAAACTTTGGAACCTTGATTAACTATAGTTAACTATAGTAAACTATAGTTAACTATAGTTTACTATAGTATTTTTTGTTAGGTTTGATCAGAAAAGCTCACTTGAACCTTTGATTCATGCGACTAAATTTAAACACTAGCTAACATACTCTTATTTAGGAATGGAACATGTATATATATATATATATATATATATATATATATATATATATATATATATATATATATATATATATATATATATATATATATATATATATATATATATATATATTTCAGAAACCTGATAGAGAAAAAAAACTTATGCCTATGAAAGAAATATACATATAATTTTGATTTTGCAAAAAGAAACAGATTTCAATAATACAGAAAATGAAAAATGTAGAATTGTACAACTAGTAACGCATATAAGCAAGAGTTGTTAACAAAGTTTTGTTTTACAAATGATCATGTTGAAAAAAGAAAATCATGTGACATGAACAAAAAAGTTATAACTGTATAACCTTCAGAAAAATGATAAACGATATAGTAGTTTTATTACTTATTACTTACATGTAAGCGTTAGATGCGAAGAACATGGAGATGACAACACTGATGAACAATTCAAAGAAGTCAATGTTGATGAGGAGGAAGTGCTACAAGACGTGACTGATAGACTGACCAAGGATTGGCTAGGTAGTTTCTTTGACTGACTCGTGCCTTGGATATAACCCGACAGTGGATTGAGCTTGGCTGTTGATATTGACTGGACATTTTCCAATGTCGTTTGGTTGTTACTTCTTGTTGTAAATTGACTATTGCTAGCGACAGGAAAGGTGGTTGTAATTGTATTAATCAAATTGTTGGAAGTAATTGTTTGTGGACTATTTTGAGTAGAAATGGTTTGCATCATTCCATGTATATTTGAATCCCTCGTACTTGACAAATAATTCCGTGATGGAGGGAAGGATGTCTGTGTCGAGGCGGTCATCTTATGAATTTGTGGTCTTGGTAACATGGATTTGCGACAAAAAACTGGATAGTTTCTTTTTCCTGTATGAACAAATATATACATATATATTATATAAATTGAGCCCTTTCAGGAGGTCTATCTATAGATATATCAGGTATATCAACTTCACAAAAAAGCATTTCGACTGAACAAAAAGTGCTTTTGTGTGAAGTCGATATGTAGCAAAACAGGCATTGGCTGATTTTTCGGACAACAGGACTTTGGTTTTCAAAATGCGCTACTTGCAGTCTTAACCTTTGAGCAACACTTTAGGTTCAGAGCGAAATAATCATCTGTTGTCCTAGGACCTAGTCAACAACTTTTTATGAAAGCATTATTTAAACGCAAAAAGAGAAACATCGGCAAAGCAGCTCAAAAATACAGTTTCCTCCCAAGATATTAATATGAAGTAAAAAGAAACCCCTTGTTAAAGGCCAAAATATATCTGAAAGTTAATCTTAGAGAACATTGTAGCAATACCTCATTTAAGAATTAATGCAACGACAGGTTGCAACTCTATTTGGAGTGTTTGTTTGTTTATTGTTTAAAGTCCCTCTCGAGAATTTTTCACTCATATGGTACGCCACCACTTGCCGGTGGAGAGCTACAAATTTTGACCTATACTCGGCACTCAGGGCCATTGAGCAGTGAGGGATCTTTTTCGTGCCAGCACCTACTGCGACACAGTACCTCGGTTTATACGGTCTCATCCGACGGATCGGTCTCCACGTCCCACAGTGGGATTCGAACCCGCGACGTAAGGATCGACTCCTTACTCTTCGATTCTAGAGCTATTTGGAGTGAACAAAACTCAATCAACTTAACTTTGGAGACCATTTATTGAATCATGAATCTTTATTAAAGGTCAAGTCACAGTAATAAATTTTGCAATGTATTCTTACCAAAAATGCACAATTGTGAGTAGATGATATTAACAGATCTTGTAAAACAATTCTTTATAAGTAATTTAGTACCAGAAAATATAAAGCCATCCAGCAAAGAACGCAAGTTTGTTTCGGTCGAAGTCGAGTAGGTGCTTGAAAATTAAGTGCAGAATTTTATTACTCTCCACAAATACAGTAAACAAAAAATCCAGCACACCCAACATTTTCATGAATCTGGTATGTACTTAAGGAAGTTTTTAAGTTTTATGTGAGTTATTGGTGTGTAAGTCCCACAGACTTGTCACGTAGGCATATTTCATGAAGCGCACCAATAATTCATACTAAACTGAAAAACATTCCTTATATTTACATTTTACATGTTCAAAAGCACCAAAATATACTCAATGTTTGAATTATTCGCTGCCCTATATCTTACATTTTATTAACGATTCTGTAGCTCATTGTGACGTCACTTTAGGGCGAGTTTCTCCGTGCGTATTTCTACGCGTGAGTATACACGAAAATGGCATTCAAATCAATTTCACAGTTGATTTAATAGAAAAACACAGCAAATGTAAATATAGAAGTTTACATGTAGTTTTTCATCTCATAAAAAATCCAGTCCCTGTATAGGATCAAAAAAAATTCCAGAATCGAGAGAGGGGATTCAGGAATTATTTCGTGTCAGCCATGTTTTGACGAGAACCGAAAGTACATTATTTTTAATGAACAAAAATTGAAGCTAAATAAACACTTTCTTTTTCTGGCTAAAGAGTTATAAATTACCCAACTCTGGTTTTACTATTTAAAAGCATTCATTTTCTCATTTTAATTGCCTTAATTTTTAATTTGATCCTTTCACTAAAGGATTTCATTGTGCGTGGAGTTTACAGATAAACAGGCAGATGCAGAGACGATGGGAATTTAGATTTGAAGAGTAATGGCTTCGGCTAAAACGTGCTAAATAAATTATTACTATGATCGCTGCGTTTCTTTCTGGATATCAAGCTTTGCTGTTCAATGATTGCCTTTCTTTTCCGTTGATATGTTGACCGTTGAGAAGACGCTGAAATCCCTGAAAAAATTATTTCATGATCAATTAATTCATAATGATCATCATTATTTTTATTATCATATTCATTATTCTGAAATACATGTTTATACCTTTCATTTTTTCGACTTCTTTAATAATCTTATGTCTGTAACCATACTCCTGTATCCCAGCCTCTTTCAAGTTATCTGAAGTCATCTCCTTTAGAATATCCATGGTTATCTTCTGTCTGGAGAACAGTTTTATGAGGCACTCAAGGCCAACGCCTATCAGAAACTGCGTAACAGTCTCCTCTTCAGCATCCTCGCCCTCTGCCATATCTGCTCCCGAAGTCCCAGCCATGTTAAAGCCTAATATCAAACTACATGTCATATAAAGGAACAGTTAAAAATAATTCTTAAAATGTATGAAATTTGATTTCTTGAATGCAATTATGTTGAATATTTTTTCTCACGTGAAAATATTGACTTCATCTGGTCTGATTTGATAATGAGATAAAATCATAAAATATTATATAATTTTGTAGACGTGAAACAAAATTAATTTGTATTGTCCTGTAATGCATGTGTTTGTTAAACATACAATGATGAGAAATAATTTCAGTTAACTTTAGTTATTAATTTGTAAACGGGATCAGGAAGAGTTTACCTTTCCCAGCAAATTTCCAAACATTTCTGAGACAAAGTAAACATTATACCTAAAACATTTCAAATTTAACCTAAGTAAAAAATCACACATAATAATAATAAAATAATAATATGTGTCACATGAAAGTTTTTATATTAATGTGCCTCCTTTTTTGGTCACTGTATTATTTCCTTAACTACATATGTATCCTTGAAAACAAGACATTGATACTTATCAATTTTTCGAATTCATAACAGAGTTCAGTTTTTTTTTTCTTTTACTAGAGACATTCAAGCTTGTTCATCCACCTTCTGCTTTCAAGTAATATACATGTATATTTGTGCCACACCTGAGCGCATGTTCAATAGAAGTAGTAAAACTTGTTTTTCTGTTGATTAGGCGTTAGCAGCAATACTTTTTCGGGTCATTAAACAAGTTGAAAGTCTTTAGAAAATACATATATTTCAAATGAGTTATAAATCATCTGTTAAAAACAAGATATGAAGTTTAGCTTATCACAAAAGGATTTTTATTATAAAGCTATTCATCAAAAAGATCCAAATTCATAAGTTTTTAATTTTTCAAAAATGAAACTTAGGATTGTTTGATCAACAATTTCTTTCATGTTGTTTATAATAAGTTAACACTGAAATGAGAAAAAAACCTGTCAACTTCAAATAGAAATCGTTAAATATTTTCGCAAAATAAAAGTCTATAATTAGTCAAATAAGCGTTTGGGCACGGATGAGTCCTGTCTGCATGAAATTCTTTTCGATCAAATTTATAGTTTATATTTTATTTTCAACTTCATTCATCAAAAAAAATACCCATTGGGAACCCCCGATCTGTGTTGAGCTATGGAATCCCCCTATGCTGTTTTTAGTATCATACTAGTTATTTATATCACTGTACCATTATCTGACATAAATTGTGTCAATAAAAGGCTGTATTATAACTACTTCGTTATAGCGCAGTTTTCATTGATAAATACGAAATGTCAGATAAACTAAAATTTAAAGTTCGGCGATATTCAAATCTTACAGAAGTGCCATCTTTGCATGAATAAAAAATGTGTTTCTTTAAAAATTAATTATCAAAGATTCTCTCAGAAATGGAGAATAGAATATGAACAATAACAAGCCTATATATAGATAGGAAGAGAATCATTTTGCATATACACTAGTCCTAATTTTGTGAATACAAATTAAATGTAGAAAGCATCACTTACATGTACTTTATTCAGGCGTTTTTAGAAAAATGGCTGCCAACACTTTTATGCATAATTATGTTACATTTCACTTCAGCGGCGAAAAGTATCTACCAATCAGATTTCATGTAACAAAGAAATTACACATTACATGATTTACTTTCGATTTGAACATGCAGAATACTAGTATTTGAAATCAAAATAATGCAAATATTTGGGACACTGACACTTGAAATGTACGTATTTAAAATGAAGACTAAGTATAAAGTCAGCATCTGTTTAGCAAGTAAGTGCATTCATATATTTTACACTAGATCGTAACAAACAATGTAATAAATCTTAATATCATTTCTGAATTAACATAATTTTAATGACTATAAAACGTCACAAAGAAAGATATTTGAATTAAACCCAATCTCCCAAATCAGAATTCCGTTATTGGTTATAAACGTATTTCACAATTTTAAATCTGATATTCGTGATATGATGATCTATAATGATAAAAAGACATCGCATTACAAATGAAGAAATGATATGATCGCAAAGTTTTGACTAATGTTAAGCTAAGCAAGAAGTTAATGAAATTCGCAATCATTTTTTAAGGTTTTCTAAGTACTAAAAATGCAAATAATAGATGAACTTCATGAACAAGTTTCCACACCAACCTTCTATCATTTCTATTCATCTTGATGATATTCTTGTGCACTATTTAGAGGAAAAGCAGTATACTAGCTTAAAGAGAATTTACATTTTTTAAGTCTTGCATTTTTCTTATTTCATGTATTGTTAAAGCTTTATCACACACAACCTATCCATAGTTTGTTTTAGTGTGCTTTACATTCCATACTTTGATTAAAATATATAACATTTTGATTAAGAACTAGTATTATTATTTATATAACGTTTTTCAACAAGTATTGCTGATTTATTTTTAAATTTCATCTAAAGAGAATCAAAAAGGTTAAGAAAACGAACAGTAGTCAATCTTGCAGGTGTCAGGGAGACCTTCCCTGTCAATTCTTCCGTATTGATCATGTAAACAGAGTACTCTGTAGTCAAATTATTATAAAAATATAGACTTGACAGTTTGTCTGAAACATGTCAGTCAAAACACAACCCAACGATAGGCTGTATTTGCAAACAAGGTCATTATAACGACAATAGAATTTCCGAACTCAAAATCTTGATGAGATTGTTTAAAGCTCTGTAGCATCTTTTTTTATTTTTTTATTTTTTGTTGTTGACAATATATACTCATGTATTGATCACTTGAAGTATCAAAAGCAAGTTTACATTTTCATCCTTTGAGTTATGGACAAGTTTAAGGGCTCCTAAAGTCATAGTCTAAGTGGTATATAAAGCTCATACCCGGTATGAACGAAAATGATTGAATATTACAACTTTCTGCATTGCAAAATCTTTGATAAAATATCTAGAATGTTTGTGAAATTGGTATAACTATGTTGAAGCAATTATTGTTCACGTTAAAATCACACTGTATGTTTTTGTTTTTTATTGATAGTGTTACCTTATAAAATATTTTTTATCAGAATGTCTAAAGTAATACATAAAGTATCCGACATGTGTTGATTTAAAGTTGGTGAGAAATAAAAATATTGCTATTTTTACTTTTGATTATGATAGAAAAATGATGTAGTATGTAAAAATAGGTAAGTGCAAGCTTGCTCTGTATTACTTCTGCAATTGGAAGTATACAAAATATGTATTCATTTTCCACAATCGTATGTTTATGTCGATATTGTTAAACATATGAGCAAATATCAGTTTACAATGACATGTACTTTCTAGCTGTGCAAATCACATTGAATGTTCAAACTTTTACAGAGAAATATATTAGACAGCAGGGCCAAAATCAGTCAAATTAAATGAATATATTCCAATTTTATAGGAAATGGGAAGATAAGGAGCAGTAATGATGCTCAAAAGTTCAATTAAACAATACAAATTAAAGGCGGATCCTGAAATCATAAGAGGTGGGAAAAAATCATAAGAGGTCCCCTGTTAACCTCCGCTGTGAACTCCTTGTCATGACTGGGTAAACGGAGGAAGTCATACTTTCGCAAATTATTGGTTTAACTGTTAGAAAATACAATCTATCGTTAAGTCGAGTCTTTACTAATGTCTTTCATACAAACTGTTAAACCATTATTCTCACACTGAATTTTCTACGAATTTTTCAGTTTACTCTGTAAAGAAAAGGAGCAAACGGCGGGTGTGACCGGTCGACAGGGGATGATTTCTCCTCCATGGCACCTGTTAACATCTCTGTTTTCAGAGATTTTTGTTTGCTCTTCTTAAAATTTATATTCTTTACTTGAAATTTTGAGCATTTTTACTGTTCATTATTTTAACGTTTTGTGATTTGATTCTCTACTGTGGCCACGTCTGGAAAATTGGAGATGCTTGTATACTAATATCACCATTTATGAGTCCTATTATTTAAGAGAATGTAAATCATATACGGTACCAATTTTGATGCACCAGATGCGCATTTCGACAAATTATGTCTCTTCAGTGATGCTCAAGCCGAAAGGTCGGGAATCCAAAATTTAAATAAAAAGAATTGGAAGAGCTGAAAAAATTGCCAAAGCCTAGAGCCAAATACGTCGAAGGATCAGAGCTTTGCATGAGGGAGATAATCCTTAATTTTGAAATAAATTTCCAAATATTACCACAGAGATTAAATATATATCCGTATTATTATACATTTTTTAAGATTTTTATTTCTTCGCCCCATCCTAGTCTTTAGACCATGATTTGGACAATCTTGAATCTATACTACATGTGAATACTTGCATAATAAATATGACAATCCGTTGTCCTGCGATTTTTTAGGGGAATTTGCTAAGGGCAGGTCTATAGTTGGGAATCGAATAGGCAAACTATTTTAAAGATTCCAAAAACAGAAATGTATATATATATATATATATATATATATATATATATATATATATATATATATATATATATATATATATATATATATATATATATATATATATATATATATACATCATATCATAACATTAAAGATGAGTTAATTTCTAACCCTTTGTTTAAAGACGGAATGGTTTTTTTTTCTGTATACAAAGCAACCAAAGTTCCAGATCAATTTCCTCCATTTTCTTTAGGGATATTTTCTGTAATCTGTATTGCTTGCCATAAATTTTTCAACCTAAGCCCCATGTCTCGTAGAGGTTGGATGGAGAGAGTTTGTTTGTTTGTTGGAGTTAATCACGTCCCGTGCGAGAATTTTTCACTCATATTAGACGTCATCAGATCCCAGTGAAGGGCTTTAAATTTATATTTATACTCAGCACTCAGGGCCATGATGAGATGATCATTCTTTAGAGTATAACCACCTGCCGTAACACGGGACATTGGCTTATAAGGTTCTATTCGAAAGACCCGCGATTTTCACTCCAATAGTGCCAGCGCTTGGCGAAGAAACAGTTGCTACCTATTTTTTATCGACTAAGGTTTGTCGCGGCCGGGGCGAGAACCTACGAATTTCCGATACTGGAACGAGCGCCTTACCAAATAAGCTACTTTGCTGGTTGGGTAGAGATGACAACACCAATGTCTATTGTAAAAGTATCTGTCCATCTTGCTATATATAATAATATTTTTATCCCGCACTTTCTAAAGAAAGTTCATTATGTTGTTGTTACCCTAGTCCGTCCGTCTGTCACACTGTCTTCTTCCTCAAACTCCTCCTCTTTTATTTTAAGCAGTAAGCAATTGATCTTTTGAAATATGATAGATGGTGTCCTGTAGATGTGCAATAAGGTTTTGGAATTTTCATTTTCACCCTGAGGGTCAAATGAGAAACGATGCTTCTTTCTACAAAAAACCTGATTCCCTGAACTCTTCTTACATTTTAAGCAGTAGCCAAATCATCTTTTGGAAGATGAATGGTAGTGTACTCTAGATGTGCAATAAGGTTTCGTAGGGATCAAATGGGGGCTGCAAATTTTGACCTATACTCGGCACTCAGGGCCATTGAGCAGTAAGCGATCTTTTTCGTGCCAGCACCTACTGCGACACGGGACATCGGTTTATAGGGTCTCATCGAATGACCGGTCTCCACGTCCCATAGTGGGATTCGAACCCGCGATGTAAGGATCAACTCCTTACTCCGCTCTAATCACTGCGCCACGCATTATAATGACTTTGTTTGTAAATACAACCTATTGTTGGGTAGCATTTTTCTAACATGTTTTATACCATTCAAATTTAATATTAAATTTGAATACTCTGTATACCTGATCAATACATAGGGCTCACAGAGGGTGTGACCGGTCAACAGGGGATGTCTACTCCTCCTAGGCACCTGATCTCAACTCTGATGTTTCCAAGGCCCGTGTTATTGTCCTGTTCGCGATTTGTTTTGTTTACTCGATTTATGAGATTGAATTCTGTTCGTAATGGACTTTTGCGAGAAGCGCTGACTTTTACAATCAACGGCTTACTTTTACACCAAGACAATATATGGAAGCTCTTTTGCGATATAAATATTAAGCTTAACAGTTAATTAAACGATAATAATGGCACATATTACGTTGTCAAGGAAGGAAAAGACAACCACCATACCCTCAACCCCTTCCTTTCCCACAGTGACCAACTCTTACTTAGTTTTCCTTCCGGAATTTTTTTCTTCCTTATTTGATTCCTTCAAAAAATGAGATTGAAAGGAGATACTACCCCTCATGAATAAGGTAATTTAAGTTATGCAATTCTGCCTCCCATCATCACTTGCGTTGATTGCATACCAGTTAATCATGGTATTGTCCCAAACACCATACCTATAATCACTATTAAGAGTAAAAGTCAGTTGCTTCTCGCAAAAGTCCAATTTTCACCTTTTACCTCATTAATCCAAGGATTTTTTTTTAAGTTTTCAGAATTGTTAACCTGATTATAAAGTAATTGCTTTTAAATATTAAAAAAAATATCCTCATCCAGCATCAAAGAATTTTCTTTCTCCAAATGCTATTCTGCAACCGAAACCACCTTGGATTTTTTGACGGGCTCCATTTTTTTCCTGTTTAATCCCGTTTTCCCTTTGATCTTCGAAGAATTTTGGCAGGTGTTGTTGCTGATTTTATCTTTGCTCTCAATGTTTTAAACTTTCAACTTCTACTACTAAAATGCTGCTTGAAGATCTCTTAATCTGCTACTATTTAATCTTATGTGTATCTTTCTCCGTTTCTTTTGATTCTTTAACTTTTATCTATCTGAATTATTAAAAGTTTTGTGTTTTTAAAAACTTATTTTAATTAAAATTCTATCAGGTTTTCAACTGCCGATGCTGAATCGAATCTTTTTCTTCCTTCTATAAAAATATGCAATTACAAAATATAGATCAGGAACATGCAATTTTAAGAGGCAAAATATTTTTTATACACACACTTTATTCTTTCATGATCCTATGAGCAAATAGAAGTTTTTATCATTATACCAAGCGTTTCAAGATTTCAATATGAGATTTTTTTATGTTGATATTCAGATTGCATTTTACATTAATCATCGATTTTCTTATACTAAGAACTTTTATTTCATTTCAATGTAGATAGGCAATAGATTTTATACAATCACCAGAGCGCACTATTCCGATTAATGTAAAATGAAATTTATCAAAATAAAGCACCTTCTAAAGTACAGCAAGAAATCTACAAGATAAGTCAAGGAGAACAATTTATTCGTAGATTCGCGGAGTTTCCCCCAATCTTTCGGTATTTAAGAATCAAAACTTCAAAATTGTAATCGCAACTTTTTGAAAAGATTTAAGCCTGTTTTCAATAGTCCGTTTGTTCTTCTCTCATTCACTTTATCTGTTAAATTCCAGTCTTTATCCTGATGGTAATTAAAAGTTTTTTTCTTGCATATCACAACCCAAATTAATAAGCTTTGCTTATGCTTTTGGAATTGTTTTTCACTTGATTTGATTTCCTTTGCATATATTTAAAAATTATAAAAATATCTTTTCATAAGTTTTAAGAACTCAATTGACATATTATGATGAATGGTTTATTTTTCTGTTTTTTAAATGGTGATAAATTTTTCAAAGTAAAATATTTAGTATTTTTACATTATTGTATTTCCTCTAGTTCTACTGAAATATATAATCAGGTTTAAAACTTTTTTAAGGAGTGAAGCTAATTAGTTGCGTTAATTTTCTACCAAGTCCCTACCTTTACTTCTCACGAAATATTTGTGGTACAATATATTCAAGAAATTGTGTTAATTAAATGTCTATTCTCTAAACCTACAAATATCTTTAGAAAATTTGAAATCACAAAATCTTACAAAAACAATTAAGATAAGAAAGTATGAGTTTTAAACATTTAAATACAACCATTCCTTAAGATAAATGAAAAAAACCTGTTTTTGTCATTATAGACAAATGCTTCTTCAATGAAACTGGAATTAGGAAAAGAACTATATTCAGTTAAGACATAACCCTGCCCCTATAATAGTAAAATACTGAAAATCTATTAAAACGTGCAAACATTTTGCGAAAATATTCCAAAACATTTTTTTTAAAAATAGCTTAGTTCTAATTTTTCGATTCTCCCAGTGATTTATAAGAATTATCTATGTAACCTAAATCTAAATGGTAAACAGTGACAATCATGCGAATGTATTTTTTGCGATCTAAAAAACTCTTGCAAAGAAAGTGCAAATTGGACTATCGCGAAACCTGTTATACGGTACATTCTGTATGAGTTAACAGAATATAAAATAAATTGGAAAAAAAAAATCAATGGCACTTTTGTTTCTATGACGTCGCGAACTATTGGGATTTCACTGATATATTTTAACAAGAGGAGAAAATGTACAAATTGTGTTTAATTTTGACTACAGCATGCGCAGAGCATTAACTTGCTCAGGCGCTTCATTCACATATTATAGTGATAATATCATTTTACACATTATACTAGGGTCGATCTAAAAGTAGTGTCACAACCTCTATATAATCCTTAATAATCCAACAAAATATTAGGTATAAATACCTCTAGTCATTTGGACTTTTGATTAAGAATCTCCTTCAGATATAGGCAATACTTTTTATAATATTAAAATAAACACAACATTGGGTATCGTCTATCGTCACACGCAGAAACATTTTTTTTAAAAAAAAACCACTACATGAGCATAAGTTAAGAAAACAATTACTGACTATTAACATTTTTTTTCTTGCAGTAATATTTCGACCCGATATATCCCAAAGAACTCGAAATAAAAGACACCATGAAGTCTGACATATCTGTTCCATATTTTCATTTAATTTTATATTCAAGTAAATAATAACTGTTAAACAAAGCTCTTTATTATGGTTATAAATCTGATGAAAGATCCGTATTTAAATATGAGTGATCTACTAAAGGAATAATATAAAACAATCATTAAGGGGACCTGGAAACAGATTTGAAGTTAATAATTTCTAAAATTTTCTGTATAATATAATGACTTATATGTTATATATGTTACAACAACATTTCTACTTTTCTTAAGTATTAAGGATAAAGTTTACCTTGTGAAAGCGCAAGAATGTGTCAATCAAACGCTTCTCGAAATTCGTAGTTTCAATAATTTATTTTAAGTCATGATATTATACAGAAATTTTGAAGAAATATTAACTTCAAATCTGTGTCCAGACCCCTTTAAGTTTTTAGGATTCCAGACAGTAAATGAAAAGAAAATTAACGTGTGCATCAGTGCCTAAATGTCGTAACATACTTTATCTGAAATGTGTCATCATGAAGCAGATATTTTATGTAAATACATGCTTCACCGTAAAAAAATGATAAAATTGGTTTCGTGACTGTTTTTCAAATTTGATTTTTAAATATTATAGTATAATCACTGAAAGATATATATAAAGCGTACATATGCAATGTTTAATTTCATTGGCCTCCAAGGAACTTAAAGTTCTGCCATCATGAAGGTAAACTTTTTTCTTCTCCTTCTCCTGTTTGTTTACATCTTTCATCATTGGACTTAATTTTCAAAATTTAATTATGGTGTACAAAGTTACCAAGTTGACATAACTAAAATAATGGTTCTTAAAATAAAAAAAAATCCATCCGAAAAAATAAAACAGACCACAAGTTTGATAATGTTTACTGTAAACATACAGGAATTACATTTAGCTGTCTGTTCATCTTTTTACTGTAAACACACCGGTATAACATTTAGTTGTGTGTTCTATTTTCTACTGTAAACATACCGATATAACATTTAGCTATGTGTTCTATTTCTTACTGTAAATATACCGGTATAATATTTAGTTGTGTGGTCTATTTTAACTGTTAACATACCGGTATAACATTTATAGTTGTGTGGTCTATTTTAACTGTTAACATACCGGTATAACATTTATAGTTGCGTGGTCTATTTTAACTGTAAAAGCACCAGTATAACATTTAGCTGTGTGTTCTATTTTTACTGTAAACGTATTGGTATTACATTTATTTGTGTGATCTATTTTACTGAAAACGTACATGTATTACATTATACCTAATTGTTCTATTTTACAGAAAATGTGGCGATATTACATTTAGCTGAGTCTCTTTTGCGAAAAAAGTTTCTGCTAAATCCATTAATGGCTAAATGTCTTGTATATATAGATCTGTATAAAGGACATTCAGAAAGAGCTAAACGAAGCCATATCAACTTCCGCCAAATATAATACTCGCTAAATATAACGTTAGACTAAAGTATTTTTACTACATCAATTTCACAGATACCTGGGTTTTTCTTTGAGAATTTATAAGAAAAAGACTATGCAGAAATTCATTCTTTCTGTTATATTAAATGCTTGATACGTGTTTGTGTGATAAATACTAGTATGCATTTCAGAAATAATAAAGCCTGTACAAAATGTGTAACAAATTTTTATAACATAGTTGTCTTGAGTATCCTATCCTATCTTCGTAAGTTTTGTTTTAAATTTTTAATAAAATAAGACTCTTATTACCTCTTACGAGAATATACCATTGCCTCTTTTTTCTACTCAAAGTTTATTTAATTAATATCTTAATATTACATTGCATCATGCAAACCTTTTTCAGTGTGCTTTGTTCTTAATTGTAACATTCCTCTGTGTTACCAATCTTACCGATGCTAGAGAGAAGGAAAATGAAATAAGATTCGGTAAAGGGAGATATGATATAAAGAAACAATGTTGGAAGGAAAAACCTACAAAGCCACGCTTGGAGGCCCGTTCTGAGTGTCAGTCTTTGACAGTCAGGTCAGAATTCACTTCATTTGCAGTAATCTATCATATTTAGAAAATATCCTGAACAGTATTTCATTTAGATAGAATGTTCTATCGTTAAAATGATAAATGTCCTACAGACCCGGTTTAACGATAGAATGTGTTCCGTGTATTTTCTATGTAGCAAAGAAAATACGGGAGATATCCCTAACTCAGTGCATTTACTTTGAAAAATCCCGAGAGTTCCGAATGTCAACATGGTGTGTAAATTTGAAACGAGTAAAAAAAGTTGGTGAAAAAGTGTTGAATTCTTCCATTATATGGATTAAATTTTTAGGTGAAAGGTATTTACAGTCTCATAAAGGTTTGTTATGATTAATTTGACTGTTATTTTCAATGTAACTTCATCAATTTTCTTCAAAATCGTTTCGGAGCGATTCTGCAATTTTCTGCTACATTACGGGTATATGGGAGGCATTCTAACTGTGATGCGGGCCTGTCCCGAGACACAGTTAGATTATTCTAACTATACTTCATTGTATGTTATGAAAGAAAAGGCAACCATGCAATTAAACAATAAATGAGCAATAGTTAGAGTTTTAATTTTTAGATAAGCAATGTAAACATCTCACATATAGATGTTCCTAATTAAAGTAATTTCTTTGATAACGTTTTTGCTTCTGAAATAGAAAAATGAATATAATTGCTCAATTTTTTTTAAAATTCATAACCTTGTGGATGTACATGTTTCGTACCATCGCAGGATAAAATAGCATTCTACGACAAAAGGTCCGATTCCGGAGTGTATATCATGATAAAAATGGTTACTTCAGATTGCCAATTGAACAATATTATTCTCTAATGGACAAATCACTGCACTTAAAAAAAAATTCTAACTTACGAATTATCCACAAATCTAATATTGTTTATATTTTACAACAATTTCGATATACCGGCGATCATAATACAATGTGTCAGAAATGTTTAAACAGGACTCATTATACCCGCACTTTCTAAAGAAAGTTCGGGTATATTATTGTTATCCTGGTTACAAAATTACCGTTGTTAAATCATATTTATAATTTAAAAGATCAATTTTAATTCTAGGACATACATACATGGTTTCGTAAATATTTAACGATATAAATGCAGTTCAGATATTTGACTTGTACATAATTTAATGTTTAAAAACCCATTCCACTCAAAACTTATTGTTGCTTCACTCATTTACAAATTCAAGACGAAATTTTTAGTTTTATTAGCATTCGGAATTAATTTCATGGAACATTGCAATGGAAAGTTCTTTCTATATAAAAAGAAAAAGAATCTCTTTTTACAACAAATTCTTATATAGAACTTGTTTCATGCCAAATAATAGCTTGTCGCAGAAAATAAATTAACTTCCGTAAAGTTTTCTTTTTAAGTTGCACACAAGCCATGCAGATCTGACAATGATCTGGAACTTGCAGACACTATACCAACTGGCCTACCACGGTCGTCTTTGACCAAACGCTGCATACCCTTTCATATTTTTTTTCTGAGTTTTTAATGAATGCAAACATAAACATAAAGAACACAATTTCAAAGATATTCTTTTAAAACGTGTGAGCACGATTTTCGTTGATTTCTATGAAATAGTTCAGTTGTCATTTATTATTTACCTGTTTGGGCATTTAAATATCTTAACTTTAAATCATGGTTACATATTTATATATCAGATAAGTGACATGATAAAAAAATATGTTCTTTGTTCATGTTCTTGTAGATTGAATGAAAAGTACTTAAATTTGGCTAAAAAAATGAGTCTAAGACATCCTTCAATCCCATGTAAGGCACCTGTAATATATTTAAGTTCAAGGTCTGAGGACATGTCTCATCTTGTTGATACGACTTTTTTTCTTATATCGATTAACATAGTGATAAACATTGATGGTACGCCGTTTTTAAATTTAACAATAAATATATTTCAGGAGAAAGATTCTTCGTGCCTTGAAACGGAGGCCAGGAATAAGGGAGTATCTTGAGCAAAAGTCACGTGACTGTAAACGAAGGTAAATGCTACTCACTCTGTTAATGTTTTACGATTTTCGTCAATACTCAGTTCTGATTATGTTTGTGAGACTATTTTCTCAAAGTTTCTTGACACGCCCTTTTATGTTTAAAACACCCTAGAATGATATATTTCAGGGAACATGAATTATAATTTTTTAATCAAGATCTTTAAAGCGAAAATATTGGGGGTTTTTTTCAATTCCTTAAGAAAATTGCTTTTCGTTTGTGAAAAAAAATTAAGACTAGCAAACTGCATTTGGACTCTATATATAATACAGTAATTGCTTTACAAAGTAATCTGAAATTCAACAGAAAAAAATCTTTCAGGAGATATACTGGACTGAAAAACGTTTGTCCGCACAAATTCCAGTATGTAACAAGGATAGTGAGATACAGAAAATCATGCTATGTTGTATTTCCGCACAGGCAATGTATAACATACGCTAACTGTGAAAAGAAAGAGTAAGTAAAACCTATGTTACTCATCAATCTTTTTATCTTCTCAAAATGAAGTTTGGGAGGATTTAGTAGTGCCATTTGAGTGTTTGGGAGAGTGGTGCGTAACGGAATTGATAATTTACATCGGGTTCGATGTCATTTGCAGTCTTGAATACTATGTATTTTGTTGTTACTATAACTTGTTTTTTGGTAATTTTAGTATTGAATATATTAAAAAATATATGAATAAAACAAATAAGATAAAAGATTCAGTATTTTAGCGTTACTGTTCTTTATTTTTATTTTCAATATTGAGTCGTGTGTAATTGGATTATACTTTCCTCGACTCGAACTTAAAAGCTCAATGATTTAAGTCAATGGAACTATATACAAGTATAGCTTTTTCAAAAAGCTTTGCTGACTTTAGGAACAATCTTAAAAGGTAACCCGTATCGGGTCGTATTTGTTATTTTTGAGTAGTTCCTGTCTTTGTGTTTACTTGACAGACATTAACCCTACCATATAAAAAAGGGAAAATGAATAAAACACAAACTGTAACTCTTGAATGCAAAAAGAACATTTTTATGAAATATGGAAATATAAAAACCCGTTTTATAGTTGCTATTGCTATTAAATGTTTAAGTGTCGGTTTCATTTAATGTATTTTTTTTCTTGTTCGTTTTCTCAATTTTTTTAAAGAATGGAAATCCTTCATTACAGGGGTTGCTCGAAATCTGGTCGCGTAAAGAGTGCTTGTTTACCTGATCGACACCGCATTTTCAATGTCTGGGTTTACTGTGTAGACAAGTATAGATTTGAACTGGTAACCTTGGAGTTACCTCAGTGCTGTACCTGCAGAGAATACTCGCTTTGCGATGGAGATGGTGGTGGCGGTGGCGACGGTGGTGGCGGTGGCGACGGTGGTGGCGGTGGCCCTGGAGGACTATAATGATACTATAGTTATCGTAATGTGAGCATAGGATGGAATGAAAGTTTTGAAGCACTAAAGAAAGTGAAAAAAAAAGTGATGGCAGAATCTTACAAGTTTCTAGAGAAGCACAGCCTTTAACACGTTATAAAGTTTTGATTCCTATGCTACATAGCTTTGAATAAAAGCATCAAAATTTAATTGTCTGTTTAATTCATTCTGATAGCAATTGTCAATTCTAGTTCTTGTGCCTTCATGATATAGTATGGAATTATTATTGTTCAATTGAGAGACCAATGTTGGCAGATTTCTTGGGTCACCTATACCCACTTATTAACATCCTTGCGAACAATTAATTTGTCAACGTATATCTGTATCTACAAATTACCCACTAAATAATGTCTTCATGTGAACCAGTTAAATCTTGCTTGTCCGAAAACATTGATCCTCAAGAACTAAAATGATATAACACAATAGTTGGTTACTATAATTATGTGGTTCCAGACCCCAAAGTATAAATGTTCACAGGAGTAGACACACTATTGTAGCAAGAGTGTTATTTTTAGATTTCCATCTAAGAGCAAAAAATTTTTTAAAATGTTCCTACTCCAACAGAATGATAAAAGAATTGGAAGAAGTTCATGTATTTGTTACCATAGTTTACAACCAGTTGTCGAAATAAACAGCCCAATTCCTTTTTCTCACAACCATGGAAGAATGCGGGATGCCGTTAAACATTGAAGCTGTATCAAGTAGAAATGTGATGAATATAGGTTCCAAAACCAGTGGGAGTGAGAAACCGGTTTTTCTCAAACTTTCGTTCCTTAATTTCTTTAATTTTCTGATCTAGAAACACCAGACTTGCCGAGCGCTTCTTGAAAATAAAAAAAAAGGAACGTTAGAGAAAACCGGTTACTAACGAGCACTGATCATTTTATTTTGTCAATGAAAGAATTCTATAAAAGATTTATTATCATACTTATAGTCCATCATCGAGTACACCCTTCCGTAGACAACGGAATGGAAAAATAGACAGGTCATTCCAAATGGTATCAAAGCCGGTAGTTTGGAAATCTTTCAAGTTAACAGTGTAGCAATGTGAATATGATGGAACTTAACGATACAGAGACGTAAGCGAACCTATTATACACGATGTCTCTTTTGATTCACTACTACCTTATGTAAATAAACAGTTAGTATTTCATCACATTCGCACCAAGCCTTACTCTTCTTCACCCTATAACTATAGTCCTGTTGGACACGTTATTACTGATGACGTAAATGTAGTTCATAATGAGGACCTTGAATCACTTTCAACTGGCGTCATAATTTCAAAAATATTATCAAGTCTGTGGAAGATTACTACAGGCGATGGGCCAAACATGAAAAAAAAGACCTTGACACTTTGCCAGAATGGAACAAAAGTATCAGTTGGATGTTGAAATCTCGCGGCCGAGAGGCAATATGAAAACCATCTTACATGTATGATCTATCCTTCTGTCTTCAAGAATTTAAAAGTGAGAAAAGAATTAGATAGATTACACGATCAATATGTACTGGTCCCAGCTGACAAAGTGGGTAACAGCATTATCTGTAAGGATCATTTATCGTGATTATTTTAATTGTATTTTAAAAGAACTTGGTTTAAATTTTCAAGTGGTTATCCAACTTATACTCATACAATGTAGTTCTATGAGGAAATTCTTCACAGTCATATGTAAGTTTTCAAATTTTAAAGATTCCCAATAATCAAATTGAATTTGAATTTTCATACTTATACTGGATTCCTAAACTACATAATGAAATATATGGAGATAACGAACAGTATTCAAGCTCAAAAGTCCATTAAACATTACAAAATAGGTGCAGAGCATACCCGGACCTCCAAAACATCAGAGGTGGGGTCAGGTGCCATGGAGGAGTGAGCATCCCCTGCCGACCGGTCACACCCGCCGTGTGCTCCTTGTTATGATCGAGAAATAACGGGAAAATCCGTCGACAATTCTGTGTGTAAATTGACTCAATGATAAATTGTATTTGCTGACAAGGTCATTGTATCGACCATAGAACTTACGAAATGACAACTTTAAATGAGACTGCTGCTATTCTTCTTTCTTCAACTTGTTTGTCAATAGCTTACCTCGTTTTAGAAATTGTTCATACATAGAGCATGCTCTTGCGTATCGAATCAACTGAGAGATATAAACCCCGTATGCAGGTGATGAAGGTATATTGCTGCATAAGTAAGGGGAGTTGACGATTGAAAAGCTAAAGTCATCAGGTTTATCATAAAGCTTGGTTGTAAGATTACCATTAATGTCTTTTTCAAATAAAATATCCAAATATGAAACAGATGTGTCAGACTCTGTAGTACCTTTAATCTCAAGCTGACTGGGATATATCGTATCGACATACGAATGGAAATAACCGTTGTTAATTGACAATATGTCGTCGATATATCTAAATGTCGAGTTGATGGCCACAGCAAGTGTTTTCTTCTTTTCACGTATAAGATTTTGGACAAATTCTGCTTCATATGAATACAAAAATAGGTCTGCTAATAATGGGGTGCAATTGGTTCCCATGGGAATTCCAATAAATTGTTGGAAGACCAAGTCTCCAAAAACCACATAGATATTGTCAATCAGAAACTCAAGCATCTTTTTAATGTCAACTTCAGAGTACTTGTGTGTACAATCAGAATGTTTTTAACAAAATAATTTTGCAAATGACCAATGACAAGGTAAGTAAATTTATGAGTTCCATTTTTATTGAAAAAGCAGCTGTCAATGATATCAAAAAGCCTGGATTTTAATTTATCGTGGGGAATGGTTGTGTATAAAGTTGAAAAGTCGTAAGTTTTTATGTTGTTAATTTTGGTAAAATTTTGTGATTTCAAATTTTCCAAAAGTTCCTTGGAATTTTTAAGTATCCACATCTGATTTACACCAATTCTCGAATATATTGTTGCACAGTACTCTTGAAGTTTCCCTCTAATGTTAATATTTTATTGAGGAGTAAAGAATAAGGTTTGGTAAAATTTTACTGGAACCTGCTATGCATCTTTGTTTTTAAGGATTTTTATGAAGCTTCGGAATTCAATATAGATATGGTAATTCAAATTCATGTTAGTTGTTGGGAATATTCAAAACTAACATATGATTTTGAAGAATTTCCTCCTTAGAAAGGGAGCTATGGGTATAAGTTGTATTATCATTTGTTGATTTAAAGGTGCTTGGACACAGATTTGAGGTTAATATTTTCTCAAATTTTCTGTATAATTTCATGACTTATATGTTGCTATAGCATTTCATACTAAAATATAATAAAAATCTTATTTCATCTCGAAGTTATTGAAACTTCAAATTTCTGAACGCGTTTGATTGACACATCCTTGTACTTTCACAAATTTTATTCTTAATACATAAGAAAAGTGGCAATTTTGTTGTGGATTAATGAAAAATATTAAAGCTATAATCCAGAAAATTCAGAGTAGAAATGTTCAAAAGCAAAACCCACTCACAGTATTGTCAGTCCGTGCTCAATGATGTGTGCAGAATTTAACAATCGAACACACTCGGTGAATCGTAAACATTAACAATAACAGAGCTCGTGCCCTGTTTACAAAAACAGTTTACGTTTCACGGGTTGTATTCAATTTGTTAAACTCTGTATACAACACTGAGCACGGAGTGACGATATTAGTGAGGGGGTTTGCTTTCGCACATTTCTACTCTGAGTTTTCTGGATTATAGATGTAATGTTTTTCATTAATACACAACAAAATCGCTTCTTTTCTTAAATATTAAGGATAAAGATAAAATTTGTGAAAGTGCAAGGATGTGTTAATCAAACGCGTCCAGGAATTCGTAGTTCCAATAATTTCCAGATAGAATAAGTTTTTAATTATATTTTCGTGTGAAATGCTATTGCAATATGTAAGTCGTGATATTATACAGAAAATTTGAGAAAATATTAACTTCAAATCTGTCTCTAAGCACCTTTAAATTCCAGTTCCTCTAAAATACAATGTAAATAATGAGCCTTACAAATCTCTTGCTGTGGCGTTCAATTTAACATTTAGATAAAACGTTTTATCAATTAACAATATTTTCATCCCTACATCGATGCGATACATGTATCTCCCTTTAAACTTAAAATTAAAGTTAACACAGAATCTGACACACCTGTTTCATATTTGGGTATTTTACTAGAAAAATGACGTTAATGGTAACTTTATGATAAATGTGATGACTTCAACTTTTCTATCGTCAACTTCCCTTATTTATGTAGCATTATCATATATATATATATATATATATATATATATATATATATATATATATATATATATATATATATATATATATATATATATATATATATATATATATATATATATATATATATATTAGGGTTGTCAATTTTGTCAATAATTAATATTCGAATATTCAATGAGAGTATTCGAATATATTCGAATATTCGATCAAATAAATAAAATCTGGTTTATTTTAAATACCGGTATACATCATCCTCCTCTCATGAAAGATTTTGCGTAGGTATTCTTATATTGGAAGTAAAATTGTATGAAGACTTTTGTATATGTACAATATGGAATTCCATGTGATATTTGTCAATGTTTGAAATAAATAATTGATTTAAATGTAGAAAAGTATAATTTTAACGAATGAAAGATGTGTATTTATAGTAGCTCCGAGGAACCAGTCGCCTTACCAAGGATAGTCGTATACTGTTCAGATTTCAATACATGTAATTAATTACAATTATCAACCTAATAAGAGATGTGATTATAATCTTTAATACAATGTTTTTTAAAATATAAACAAATACTACCAAAGACAATTTTCCTAGGTAATTAACTAATTTCCCGATAATGAATATAAAATTCAAGATTATGTACAACCCGAGATAATCAAGTAATTTACACATTATTCTGAAACTGAGCCCTTTACAATATTAATTACAGACTAATTCTATCGGACAATCGTTCAATGATCAATTAAATTTATTTTGATAAGTTTACTCTTTAGGTCTTTTAGACATTCTAAGAAAGTTTTCATTTTGTTGTCCTCGATTCTAGATCCGATCGTATTTATTTAATAAAAACTAGGAAAATACGTTTTGTATCATACATAAAGCA